TTGATAATACATTACTTTTTGATTCTCGATAATATATAAATATTTCAATATTTTTATTCTTATTTTTCACATATAACACACATAAATAACAAAAAAATTTACTTTTTTAATAGCTAAAAAGTTATTACTTTTAATCGTTTAGAACTTGAAAGCTATTAGATCCTCATTGTTTTTTGTTTCAGAAAACAAATTTCAAATAGATCAAAGAATCATTAAATCGTCTCAATTCGCCTGGAATGCTCTGTATATATGAAATTACCGATAACAAGTCAACGTGCGTTTAAACGAGATGCCAAATCGATGAGAAGCAGATTCCCGCGTTTTAATTAAATTCCTTTTGCGCAGACACTGCAACGTGACAATTTATTTAAAAAATCGACATCCCGTACACACACCGTTGCACAACTGATTTACTTTCTGCATCGTATGACGCTATCGTATATTTACTGTGGTTTTTAATATTAAAAGTCATCCGCGTTTCTGACGCTGCAAGTTATCCTAAAATTTTGGAGAATGATACTTGTATGTAAAGAGAAAAATAATGTCAAAGATATTTATCATATCTGAAAATATCGATATCTCTAATATACGCGAATATAAAAAAATATAAAGATAATATACAATTATCATGTGTTGCTGTAAGTATTAAAATTTCTTTTTTCATTTCTTTCATCGCGCAAATGATAAGAGTATGCGTTTAAAAGTTGAACTTAATATCGCGAATGTGTCGTATTGTAAGAATTCAGCGTCCATAATGTCGCGTAGAATTTAATAAACACAATAACATGTGCGTGTGTTGCGTGGTTTTGACGAGCGACTTCTCTCTTCGCGTTCTTTTTTCCTTTTTTCCAAATTGTGATCGTACGCGACCCTACTCGGCGCAATTTTTGCCGCTCGTCTCGACGGTGTCAGAAAGAGGCGTCGCGACGGTAAGCGCCGTCGAAAGTCGTAAAAATGCAAATGCACATATCTCCCGGAAAAATTGCCAGCTGTTGGACGACAGCCCCAAAACTAGCCCAAAAGCCGATGAATTCTCCGGCATTTCTGTGCCATCTTAAAAGTTATGTGCCTCAAGGATCTTGAGCTCCTCAATTTGCAAAGATGTATGTTATATAGGCGAGAAAAATATAATATTTTCGATAAAGCACTTGGAAACAGTACGAGTGAATATGTACTTGGCTATATCTCTCAACTTCGTAAAGTATGCAAGAGAGTTTCCGAATACAACTAGTAAACCGAGTTTGAGCAGTTGAATATATTTGGATGGGCGGACTTTCTCTGCGTGATCGATGAGGTAACAGAAACGAAGTGTAACTATGGAAAAAACACGTTCTACGTTTTCGCTTCTTTTTTTTTCTTTATTTCGAAAATTACCCGCTATTAGACAGCATACGGGCACGGTAATTTACTCTCTTGCTACTAATTACTGCAACACTTTCCCGTAAAAATGCTGACGTTCTCGTTACGATAGCGAATGCATAAGTCACGTTTGTGTGTTGGGGACGTCCGGTAAACGGTGTCTAATAAACGAAAATTTATCCTCGCGCGACGCACTCCGTTGGTTTATTTACCGTAATTTTGTTCACCGCTGCACCCAGACGAAACGTATGTGCATGTCATTCGGCTTGCAATTATAACCCGCGAATCTTATGCAGGGTCAGAACGGAATAAATTTTTTGAATGCAACACACAGTAACAATTATTATATAAAATATTGAACGCATGACGTTATATACAATTTATACAAAATATTGAACACATTAATCTAAAAGATGGCAATTTTAAATTTGTCAAAACGTGTAAATAATCACACACGTGAAGACATATCTGTCAAAATTTTATAATTAAAAAAGAGAGAAATATGTATGTATTAATTATAAATTTTTAGTTTTCTTTATTAGAAAGAAGAGCGAGAATAAGACCGTTTTTATGGATGGGTCTTTTATTAGAGAAAAAGTGTGGATTTAGTTTGCAAATACGTCGGGCTTAAAACCTTCGTGTGTGGCGGCGGTTTTTATCCAATTTTACGCGGCGAATCTTCTCATGTGAAAAATGCTGATGATATAAATAAACGAATGTTAAATCTATTAAAGAAATATAAGGCCATTCGGAACATTGAGCTCTTAAAACCTCGCGATTGTTATATATCACATCGGTGATATTTTTAATCCGCAAAAAAAACGTATATACATTCACATAATCCAGAGAGGATACTACAGTGAATATATTAGTTCATTCTATAAATATATAAATAATGCGATTTTTCGTTACTGGAACGACGGATTGAATTTTATGAGTGTAAAACCGGAAAATTTTTATGAAATAAAATCGAATATCTGGTAGAAAGAATATGAATACAATTGCAAACATGGAAATATATTACACAGAGAAGGAAGACTTATCGTTAGTAAAATAAATTGATGTAAATTAAGTAGTTAACTATTTAAAAGAAAGTAATAAATGTTTTAAAATAAATATATAATTAAAGGTTATTACTTGCTAGATTTTTTCATTCTTATCGCTTCGCGTATTATTATACGTAATTCTGCTTTAATGAAATTTTCCACGATAACCTAACGTGTTTACAGAATGTTTCACACTCCGCGGAACATAACGGAAACGTGCGCAAGTGAAGGGTTAGATTTTGATCGTAATTTATTGGCTAATCGAAAACGATCCAAGGAAACGTAATCGCGTTACATGTAATAATGGTCTGCTGGATATCAATTAAACTTTCTAACTACTTTTGTAACTTGAACAAAGGTCTGCATTTATCTAGCTATTATTAGCGATATAAATTGTAAGGCCAGCGCACGATGATGATGCGGGCTATCTGTCTCGAACGTTCTATATAGCCTCCTCTTTTTCAAGGCTGATACTGATTAAACTTTCCTTAATTTCAAGGGACAGGTATCGAGATCACATTGTATAGCTCTTACATTTATAAGATTGAATAATAAAACAACTTGGCGAAGTTCATTATAGGACGCCTATCAAAGTTTCTTAAGACGAGCAGCATTATTCATACACAGCACGTAGTCTGCACATTTCGTATGTAAAATATACATTTTTGTATTAAATGAAAAATTTTCTTACTTTTCTGTCAATAGCAACAGTATTTACATGCAACGTTTGGTTACAAAAAGGGAACATTTTCGAGCGAATAACCGCGAGCGTAATTGTTCGCGCGATATGACTCCCTCGAAAAGGCAATTGAATTTTTTTGCGGCCTATTCGACAAAGGCCATATTTATTATCTCGTTAATTTTAATCCCCCGGCTACACACATGCCGTGACCCAATATCGCGTACACCTCGACGACAATGATTTACGGCGCTTTTCCGGTACAATAAAGGTAGGGTATGTACATATACATGTAAAATAGCGCACGTGGACATTTGCTCGATTTACGTTTCCCTTAATTTTGCGCTTCTATATATATAAAAATATATATATATATATT